GAAGAAGGCTACAGCAAAAACGAAGTAGGTGGAGAATGAGTGAAGCCCGAAGAACCACTTCGAGAAAGAAGCAGATCTGTGGATGGTTCCCCGCTGCTGGACTCCGGCGATGGATTCTCCGCTGCTCAATCCGGCGTCGAACAGATGTTATGGAAGTGCGCCTCGATCCGGCGTCGAATGACAAGGTTACGGGAGCGAGAGGCCAAGCCACTGCTGGATCCGGCGTCGAACGGCTTGCTGACGGGAGCGAGAGGCGAAGGCTTGCTGGAGCGAGGCTCGAACGGGTTGGTGACGGGAGTCGGGGCTTTGAACAGAGATGAGAGCGAGAGCGAGAAGCTAGGGTCACGGGAGAGGCGAAGGAAAAAGGCAAGGTCACGGGCGTAAATTGGAATTAGAAAAAGCGGATCGCAGGGGTCAGCTCGCGGTCTGCGTCTTTTACAATTGAGAAAACACATTTTTCAATAATCTGGTGATAAGTGGGTACCAAACAGTGAGGCGGCGTTTTCAAAACGCCCCCCGCACTTATAAGCTGTCCCAAACGGGCCCTTAGTTAAGAAAAAAATTTACATTTGGACTCTGGTTGTTGGACAACGACCCGATGCAACGAGGAGGGCAAGAGGGGAGTGTTAGGTATGACTCATATATCATATATGGGACAGATGTTGAAGCGGAGCAGAGCCCACGAGCAGAGTGTAGCGGAAGGATCTGTCCAATCGGTGGAGTTTCATTAAGGGTTTGTTTGGGGCAGCTGTTGATTATTTATAATCTGTTGATAAACAAATTATTTTGATAATTTGATAATCTCCATATTATCAGAATAAGCTGACTTGTTGTTTATGACAGCTTTTTTAGAACAGCTTACTGACATTATTGTTTGATAAATGACAATTATGTCCTTGTTCAGTTCAAAAAGGCTATAGCAATAGTTCAAAGAGATAACCCTTTAACAAAATTCCACACCAGGGTGAAAGGAATATCAATTTTACATAAAAAGGAATGGAGCATAATAATTGGACAAATTCAAAGTTTGATTCAAACGATTTGCTCTAGAAAATCACTCTGCGTCCATGAAAAATTCAATATAATTAATCATATCTTGAAATTAGTTGATCTAAAAATTGATAGAGCAAGATGTCTGCATAGTTAAATACCATAGAAGCTTGGATCCTACCAAACTCCAACACATTGCTTTGTGATAAATTACTCCAACAAATAAAATCTCAGGTGAACTGAATAAGCAGTCAATGCTCTCGTCAACACAAAGGCCTTAAAAACAATCATCGCATAGAAAATTGAATTTCACAAACCTCAAATCCAAAAAAAGGAAAATCATCTAGAAAATATAAATCAAGAAAACTTTTTTCTTACAGTGAACGGGAGGCAATGCTTACAGTGGACGGGGGAAGGTGTTGAGAAGAGAAATGCAGAAGGAGAGCTTCGATTCTTATCGATCATCTTCTCGGTTCAAGCGTGGTAGAGCTTTGAACGAAAGCTGGCCCCCTTCGAGTGACAGATCGTCTTCGGATCCAGTCGAGCTTCGCGCGAAACAACGAAGGGTTTTTTGTTTCGCAGGCAAAGGGGTCGCGGCAGAGGGGATCGGGATCGGGATCGGGACGAAGGAATCGGCGACTGAGGGGATGTGGAAGGGCAGAGGGGATCTAGATCGGAACGGAGGAATCAGCGACTGAGGGTTTGTTTCGCGAGAGAAGGGCTTCCGGGTAATAATCTTGAACGATAAGCAGAAAGCGGGATGCGATGTGCGGTCCCGAATAACAAAGGAGCTGCGTCGGGCGATTTCCTATCACGATACAGAAGTCCGAAACAAACACTCGGTGGGCGTTTTGAAAACAGCGATCGCAATAATAAGCTATCCCGAACGGGCCCTAAGTGGGTTGGGGGTGCGGGGGCAACATCCTGTAGTTTAGTACATGGGTAATTTAGGTAATTACATATTGTATTATAAGATTATATACATGTCATATTTGTAACCCTAAGTGAGATTCTGAATCTTGTGTTATGTATTATTTTCTGAATATTGAAAAGAAAGTCGCCGTTCTGCTCCTGAGAATGTAGGTATCTTCACCGAACCTCGTTAAATCTCCGAGTGTTCTTTTGAATTTGTTTCAATTCTTATTTTCTTTTGACCTAATTTATCAACAGGAGGTCCTCCTTCGCCCCTCCTTGCTACATCCAATGGGCTGGCACTCCAAATGTAAAACCGCTCTCCTTATTGTAGCCCCGTAAATGTCGCGGAGCGTGACACCCGGCTGTTGTCACCCAGGATGTAAAATTATCTCCTTAGTTAAACTCTTTAAACCACATTCAATTTACATTTGTGGGTGTATCAGGTTAGCAGATTTCCGAGACTTCCGGACGAGCCTGGAACGTAACGTCATTGCATTTGCATTTTTCCTGCCTGGCAACGAACCAAAGCGCTTCGTCACCTCCCTTCGCAAATCCCACGCGCCAAATTTCGTTCGCAGGCGATGCCCGCCTTTTTAAAGTTCTGATGGACGGAGACACAAAGGGAAGAAATCACTTCAAGGGAGATTTACATGCGCATCACACAAAACATTGGTTTTTACATATCTAACACCTAAACTTTCTTATCTATACACGTAGACGACCCAAATGGAGCTCCCAGATGCGGTGCAGCCGAGATCCGAAAGCATCGGAGGGATGGCGATGGAGAGCGTGGGAAGAGAGATGAAACCGGAGGTGGCAACGGCGAAGGTTCTTGTGAAGAGGGAGGAGGAGGTGGAGGAGGAGGTGAACAACACGCTTGATCTTGCATTCTGTAGAGGCGATGACAAGAACAGGTTTGCTTGTTTTTAATTTTGATTTGGGCAGCGATTCTTTGATTTCAGTGGTTTATCCGTGATTGTGGCTATTTGATTGGTAAGTTTTAGAAATTACAAGTTTTGAGACCTAATTTTGTGGAGCGAGAAAGGAGGAACGTGGGTCTGGAGACATCCGTGATTCCGTTGTTTTTAAGTGAGGGCAAGGGACTGGTTGCTTGACGATCTGGTCGTGTTAGGGCAAGTTATTGCGCCATCTTCTTGAAACTAAATTGAAAATCCTCTCCATGAGCTTGTTTTGACCTTTGTATTCCTTTGTTTCTTGAAAGTTACTTGAGGAAATTCAAGCCTTTTTTGTTTAAATTTTTGCGACCGAGGTAATCGGTGGTCTAACTTTCCTTTTTTTTAGGGCTTGGATATAGCTTTTTGGCTGCTACTTAAAATAAGGGATAATAAAAAAAAATAGTAATAAAATTCTCCTGTTTTTCTTTGATTCGGATAAACGAGTTCTTTTCGGCCGATGGAGAGGTTACGGATTTGGATTTGCTTCAACTGATGGTGTTTTTTTTTTTCAACTGATGGTGTTTTTTTTTTAAATTTGGGAAAGTTGAATGATTTCACTTCAACTGATGGTGTTTTTTTTTTTTTTAAATTTGGGAAAGTTGAATGATTTCAGAACTAACATATTGTACTCTGTTGATTGATTCGATCTCCACTCTTTTGAAGTACTTCGGCAATGAATAACCCTAGCGCCAGCACTCAGCTCACCATTTTCTACAATGGATCTGTGAACGTCTTTGAAGCAGTTCCTCCAGAGAAGGTCCTCTCTCTCTCTCTCTGCTTTTTCCTCTCTGTTTCGCTGTCTTTTGCTGTTCCAATTCTGATTACCGCCGATTGGGAAGATTAGGCGCAAGCGATCATGCTTATAGCTGCTGCGGCCGCCGCCGCCACCGGGGGATTCTTTCGGGAAACAACGCGAGCGTGAGCAGGATTCCGGCCATGCCAAGCACCGCTGTCGCGGCCTCACCTGCTCTAACGAGATCTCTTTCACAGCAGAGCTCTTCAACAGCGGCTTCTCCACAGCCACCTCAGCTTCTCACAAGCTCTTCTGCATATCTTTGCAAGCTGCAAACTGGTGAGCAAGAATCTCTTAAATTTCGTTCAAACTCATATGTACATACTCATTACGTTTTTCCTTCATTTTCAATTCAATCGGAATGCAAAGTTGTTCTTTTGCTGTGAGTGCAGAGCTGCCTGTAGCGCGGAGGCACTCGCTCCAGCGATTCCTCGAGAAGCGTCGCGATAGGTAAGTTCAAATATTAATGTCCTCTGTTTTTCTTTGATTTCAAGACGGATACCAATTCACTTTTAACAATATTAGTATAAATTAATAGTAAAAATTGCGTGGTTTAAAGCCTTTGAAATTTCAAAAAAAAAATTATTCGAATGAATTTGTTTGTGCTTGCTATTGCTGATCTGATAGACCTATAAAATTGTGCAGTCTCCATGAAATTTAAAGGTTTCTAGTTTCTGTAAATTGTAAAGCTTGAAGAAGTATATTAGTCAAAGCTCAAGGGATAACTCTCTATTCTGACTGCTATGGTCCTTCCTAGTGTAGTTTCTGCAGCTTAAATGATCTTGGTTTGCAGGTTCATGAGGATTAGGTTTGTAGCGCAAAATTTCAAGTAAATTCCTCCCTTGGAAAAAGAGATGATACCATAGTAAATTAAAGTTACTATTCTTAACCTTTTGTAAATTTGTAAGTCGAACAGAATAAATTATGTTGTCATGAAGCTATTTAATAATGCCGCAAAATTAATTGAAAGCTATAATGGGAAATGTGTCAGATGGGGTCAAAGAACATGTCTGTTGCTAGCTTTCTGAACGACCACAAATGATGCCAGTCTATTGTCATATACGGGAATTTCAAAGGCTTTTCAGAAATATTTGTGTCTGTGAAGCTGTTGAGAAGGCATGTAAGGATAGGGTAAATAATTTTCTTTACTAAAAAAAAAAATTAGTATTGTTGTCTATCAAGTGAGAAAAGTAAATAAAGCCATCTGTATCTAAAGACAACTCATTAATAGTCTAATGGGACTTCTATCCCTAATGTTGAAATATAAAAGTAAATCTTATTCCTTATCTTTTAAAATGCTGTCCATCTATACAAAGATTCTATTTTTATGTTTGTAAGCATCAGTCTACATTGATGTGGCGATCCACATCGTCTGCATTATTAGTCTCGGGGTGATATGTGTATTAATGGTTTCATTAATAAAAAGGGGCATTTACATACATTCCACATAATTCTTATTTATTTTCATATCTAACACCTAAACATTAATATTTAAATTCATACCAGTCAAATTTTTTACATCTCATTAAAAGTATCATGATTATTACCTTTTTTTAAGTAAAATACAGCTATTAATGCATAGATTTATGACATCAGGTGTTGTAAGTGTGAATATCAAAATTTGGTTGTTAGGCATGTAAATAAATAAAAATTGTTTGGTATGGAAGTAAATTTCCATAAAAAAAAACCATGGATCTTTTGGATGATTAAAAAAATTCAGTTAATTGATAGTCAGCGGGGTGCTTGTGGGCTTCATACATGTGGGATTGTGGACAGGGGCGAACCCAAATTTTTTTCTTAAGTTAGATAAAATCATCAAATATTTAATTTTTGGGGGCAATTACGTACAAACCATTCAAAACTTCCTATTTATGAAGCAACTGCCCCCCTTCATCCATTTTTCAAATTTTCACTCAAATATAAAAAATTATGATAAAACCGCAACCCATAATTTTCATTTTTATCAAATTTGAAACTTCCTATTTATGAATCAACTGCCCCGTCATCCATTTTTCAAATTTTTACTCAAATATAAAAAATTATGATGAAACCGCAACCCATAATTTTCATTTTTATCAAATTTTGAGAATACATTGGTTTGGTAGTTCAAAAAATCATGGTGGTTAATTTGTAAATATCAATGTTTTGGATGTTCTGTATGTAATTATCTCAAAATTATTTAAAGCATTGGGCAAAACATATATCAAGGTCTGTAGATTACTTATAAAAGATTTAGATACGATAATTAAGCAAGAGCATGTTCATCAGAAGGATTTGCGAGCCATAATTGCGGGCCCGACGTCTCAAAATTATTTAAAGCATTGGGCAAAACATATATCAAGGTCTGTAGATTACTTATAAAAGATTTAGATACGATAATTAAGCAAGAGCATGTTCATCAGAAGGATTTGCGAGCCATAATTGCGGGCCAGACGGTTATATTTATAACTTGCTGCTATAATTGCATGAAATTATAGTGTACAATGTATCCTGGCTGGCCACACTCCAGCTAACTCTCTTCCTTTTCTTTTTCTACTTTACATCAATTTGAATATTATCATGCAACTAAAGTGGTTAGAAAAGCAATGTCTAGTAATTAAGGACGCTTAGAATCTATAAATCCTTAGGGCATTTACATAAATACCAAACAATTCTAATGTATTTACATATCCAACACCTAATTTTATTCAGGGGAAAGTTTAAATCCTTAGGGCATTTACATAAATACCAAACGATTCTAATGTATTTACATATCCAACCCCCAAACATCAATATTTACATGAACACCACTCAAATCTTTAATACCACATAAAAATATACCACCGTCTTTTTTTTAAAAAAGTGAAATACATCTTTTGTTGCATAGATTAATGAAACTAAGGTGCTATAAGTGTAAAGATCAAAGTTTGGGTGTTAGATATGTATATACATAAGAATTGTGTGGGTAAATTTTCCTAAAATTTTATAGTTGGTTCCATGAGTCCACAGATTTTGCAAGGATTGTTACACCTTGAGCCTTTCTATGCCAACATGCTTGTGGAGCGGGCTCATGTTTCTCTTATCCTGTTTTTATGTACTATCATCCGTGGAAACTATCTGCTTGGGATAATCAGAGGTTTTTTTTAAAATATCTTTTACTGAATTAGGTTGTCAGTAATGAAAATAATATTATAATTTAAGAATAATGTTTTTTTAATTGAAAGTTGTTGGACAAAAAAGAAACTGATGACTAGATTAAATAATGTCAAACATTTATAATGCAGTAAAACTAAATCAGCAGCTTGTCTTTTTAATAGAAGATTTGCATACATACCAATCAATTCTTGTGAATTTACATATCTAACAACTATACTTCAATTTTTACATACATGCCATCTTCCCTATGCATGAAAATGTCTATTTTAAAGATAAAATGATGATATTTAATGTGATATGAAAGATTTGGGTGTATTAAATGTAAAAATTAAAGTTTAGGTGTATGTTATATAAATACATAAGAATTGGGTGGAATGTACGTAAGTGCTTCTTTCTTCATTAGTTCATCAAATAATATAGTTGATTTTTTATGTTAAATTAGTTTTTCTGTGATTGTTTTAGTTTTCATGTAACAAATTGTTGTATTAGAGGTTTTGTTTGTTTAAGGGATAAAATGGTCATTTTTTTTTTGTTTTTATTTGTGTGCCCTAATGCTCATAGGAGAGATTATAGCTAATTTTAGAGCATGGAGATGGGATCCTATTTTAGTTTTACTTTTTTTTTTTCTCCGTCCGTTGATAGTGGAATAATCCCTCCCTGTGGGCGTAGGAGAATTTGCGCTGAACCACGTAAATTGCTGCGTGTTTGATTGTTTATTTGCTGTGTGATTTTATTCTTCACATTCTTTTACAAAATAACTTTTTTCAAAGCGAGATTGATGCGATTCCGACGAAGTCGTGGATGTAAGACAAAGAGGTCAGAGTAAGTGTAGGTAGGAGATATGGTGTAGTCATGAATAATTGCATGTCGTCAGGTATCTTAAATATCCACCACAACAGTGAAGTAGTCGTCGATTCATCATTTTGTCAAGATCGATGTTATGAGATTTTTTGGCAGATGAAACTTTGACATATGACGATGTGAGATGATAGAGGAGGAAGTTGTTGATCACGATGACATCCTGAAGAGATGTCAGAAAGAGATTGATTTAAGATGAACTGTAGTGTTTGTGACTTGATTCAAAATTACTTATTTCAGGAGATCAAGTATGAGATGATAATTGAGACTTGTGCATGAAAGTTATGGAGGAGGCTAAAAAACAAATAGCTCACAAAGAGTGTGGAGAATCGTCTCCTTATAAAATGTAGACTTTACATGTTTTAGATGAGACACGAGATTATTATCGACCAGTACTTAAATGATTTTACAAAGCTTTTGACAGTTCTGTTAAATATGTACGAGTTTAAAGATGAAGATATGCCACTTCTTTTATTTAATTCGCTCCTAAATGAGTAAAAAAAAATTACTATGACACTCATTCATGGGAATGAGGTCTTGAATTATGGCGAAGTGTTATCATGAGTTTTGTCGAAGAGATAATGAGTTCGCAAAGATGGTGTCGGTTCATGCAATTACACTTCAACGTGAGATCTGAGAAGAAGAAGAATTGGGCAAATAAATGTGGCAGCAATGGTATTTCTAAAAAAATGGGACAAGTCAAATGGGCGTATTCTTGGAAAAAATCAACGCGTTTTTTGTTTGGAGATTGATCATTGAAAAGAAAATGTATGAAATTGAAGAAGAATAGAAATAGAGTTTCTTCCAAGGTGAAAGTCAATTTTATTGTGGAGATGAATAATGATACTATTTTAGATGTACTATTATTTGCAATTTCTCACAGTTTGTATACAGATAGTTAGTGTTGAATTCTGGACACATGCACTACCTATCACATTTATCCCCATATTCTTTACGTACAAGAAGTTTGATAGCGGTGCAATGACTATGAATAACGATCAAATATCTCGTACTATTTGTATAAGGAGGAGCGCTCTTATTAGGATGATGATGATAATGTGAGGGAGCTATATAATATTTGGCATGCTCTGGATATTAGGAAAAAATTGCAGTCATTTGGGGCCTTAGAGGCCAAGGACTACAAGACCATTATTGAGGCATAAGTTTTGAGGATATATCATAGTGCACTGATTGTTAAGAAGAGAGTTCACCGTCACAAATTTTCTATCCTAAGGGTAGTATAATGATATGAACTATTGTTGTTGATGATTCTTCTAACATCGTTATATTGTGGCATGTGTGATTTGCTCGTGCTAAAGACACTCCACTTCAGACTTTTTGAGGCAATGATTGATCAAAGTAGCGAGCACATGCAAGCTTAATTTCTGTGAACATTGTGTATTTGCAAGAAGACATAGGTTATCTTTTGTATAGTCATCTACAATATAAATGATTTTTTACGATATGTGCACATAGGTGTTTGGTCTCGATGATGACATCATCATTGTTGAGCAGAGATATTTTATTTCTTTTATCAATAATTACTTCAGATATATTTTGGTGTATACCCTGAAACGCAAGAGTGAGATGATAAATATTTTCATGACTTCAAAGGACTGAGATTTAGATTGAAGATCAGACAGTGGGGGGCAAATACACATCAGATGTGTTATTTATAAGAGTATCAAAAAGTTGTGGTAGAGCACAACTTCATTGTTTGAATGACACAACAACAAAATGAGGTGGTAGAGGATAAGTTAGATTTTGGTTGGTAAACTTCGATGTGTGTTATACAATGTTGGTTTGTATAATCTTTAGGCGGAGGTCATAGTATATGTTTGTCACTTGATGTATCGTTCGTCTTCTGTAGCTATTAGGAAGAAGATTTCAAAGGGGACGTGGTTGAGATATCCTTCTAGAGATTATAAACATATAATATTGTTCGAGTGTCCAACTTACTATTACGTGCAAAATGATAAACTGTAGCCACAAGCAAATAAGATGATTTTCATCGGTTTCAAGCATGGAGTCAAAAACTTCAAACTTTATGATTGGTCAAAGAGGAAGATTATCATTAGCATAGATGCTATATTTGACGAGGCAAGCTTGTTTAAGCCTCAAGACTCAAAACAGGTGGAGAGATTAGGACCGCATATATGTAGCTGAAGTTGAAGTTTGATTCAATTTTATTTGTGTCATAGAGTTCATCCACTTTTATTCAAGCTCCTAATCATAAGTTCAAAGGAGAATCCAACGGTCATGCTCACGAAGATATTATCAATTCACAAATGAACTCACAAATATATTATCAATTTTTTTTGTCGTAAAGTAGAGAGGAATACAAAGGAGAATCCAATGATCATGCTTACAAAGATATTATCAATTCATAAGTTCATTTATCGTAGGAGTTTGTTGAACATTTGTGCTCATGATTAGTTGCTCATTTGATTATTTTTAAGAATTATACAAGGTTTTATTCCTTCGGGAATGGGGGTACGTGGTCGAACAATGTAGTGCAATCGTTTTGGTGTTAGAGCTCATTTGTCATCTCATTCTTATTTGGAAGTGAGTGATGAAATGAAGATTGTTGTATTAAAGACTTAGCTCATATAAGAGGTAAATTTATCATTTTTAATTTTTGTGTCATAGTTCTCTCTTATTTATATGAGGGATTTTGATTGGTTTTAGAGTTTGGTGTTGCAACCCTATTTCAAGCATCTTTTCTTTCTCCCACATGTAGGCATTTTACGTTGAACCATGTAAATCACATTTTTTGCAATGTAATTTTGTTTTTCACGTTTTTTGCACAACAAAGATGCTATTCTCCAAGTTATCATTAAAATTCAATATAAATTAATCTTTAATTAACTTGCAAAAAAATTAGGAAATTATTTCTATATCTCCAAAAAGCTATGGATTTATTGGTGTATAGTTTTTGCTTAATTTTGATTATATATTGTATATATATATATATATATATATATATATATATATTATTTTTATTTATTTATTTATTTTTTGGGTTGGGTGAGCACTTTAATGTAGTTCCTGATTTTCTTAATTTTATTTTCAACCAATGTGGTGCACATTTGAATGCTTAGATTTGATAATACACTATTTTATAATAAACTTCAATGATTTATTATTTTTACCACCTAGTTCAATTATTTAGTTAATTCATTCTAATTTTTAATTTAATTCATGATAGTTTTTAATTTCTAGCTATAGAAAAACATTAATATCCCAATTATTTTTCTCATCTTCGGTCCACTTTCAGAGTGTTTGTAGACTCACATTTATCGTGGCAAAGTTCACAACAACAACAAGCCTTTATCCCACCAAGTGGGGTCGACTATATGAATCTTTTTTCTCCATTGCATTCTATTGAGTGCAATATTTTCATTTAGCTCTAATAAATTAAGATTATTTTGTATACAATATGCCCAAGTCTTTCTAAGTCTACCCCTGCTTTTCTTAACATAAGTCGAACCTAAAACATCTACTCTTCTAACTGATTCATTAGATTGTTGACGTTTAATTTGACAAAATCATCTAAAACAACTCTCTCTAATTTTGTCCGCCGCTGGAGCTACACCAACCCTATCACGGATTTTTTCATTTCACATTTTGTCTCTAAGTGTATAGCCTCTCATTCACCTAAGCATTCTCATCTCGGCACACTTAGTTTTATGCTTCTCTTTTAAAAATTAACATTCTGCGCCATAGAGAATTGTAGGTCTCACCCGTCACCGCGATCTTTTAAAAATTTCCTTTCAATTTGAGAGGTACTTTTCTATCACACAATTGGCTCAAAGCATTGCTCCACTTCAAGCAATCAACCTGAATTCTACTAATAACATCCCCATCTATATCACCATCATTTTGAACGATAGACCCGAGATATTTATAACGTTCCCACCTTTTAATAATTTGATCACCCATAATTACAACTTTGTCACCAGAGCTAGAACTACTAAATTACATTTTATGTATTCTGCTTTAGTTCTTTTCAAACGAAGACCTTTAGACTTCAAAGTAGACTTCCGTAATTCAAGTTTTTCCCGCGCTCTTTCTTTAATCTTATCCACAAGAAGGATTTCATTAGCAAAAAGTAGATGCCAAGGTACATCCTCCTGTAAATGTCTAGTAAGAGCATTCATAACTAAAGCAAAAAATTATGGGCTTAAAGTCGATCCCTGCAAGGAAAAAAAAAGTAACACATTTGTTGTTATGATTGATAATTGCTTTTTTATTTAGAGTGATATAATAGTAATAATTAATAGAATACTTTATTGTGATGCATCAATTTTCGGATAATTAACATTCCTAGGCGTCGCTAAACTGTTTGAGTATTGGGGTACAAACGAGTCGAGTCGTGCTCCAGCAACGCCAGGCTCGAGCTCAGCTCGTCTGTCAAACTGTTTCGGTTCGAGCTTAGCTTGTATTGGTGGCCGGAGGAGGAGGTGGGAGCTCATCAGAAAATGTATCGGAACTATTAGTAATAGGCTAATGGAGCCAATGAGCCAAATTGGAGAATTTCGACCTCGAGCTCATTTTATAAACGAGCTCACGAGCCGAGCTTGTGCTGGGTCGGCTCATTTGCATCCCTAGTTGAGTATGATCCTGTCCTTCCCAAAGGGTGACTTAAGCGCACTTTGCCCCAATCTATCTTTTTTATTGCAGCGCCCTCTTTCTATCTTTACAAAGTTCAAAATGAAAGGCAAAAGCCAAAAAAAAAAAAAAACTCTAAAAAAATTTATTTAAGAACTTGGTGGCATTGCCTTCCTTCAGTGTTAACAGTCATGAATTGCTGTTCTTATTTGGCAGGTTTGCGAGCCGAAGTCCCTATGGTTCAGAAAAGAATTTTGAAAGCGTGGAAGTTAGCATGAATGCGAAGCCTGAACTAAAGCTTGCGGTGGACTTCGCTGTGGCGGAATAGAAAACCCCTCACTCCTCAATTTGTCGATATTATCCTGCTTCTGGGATGATCGGAACTGTGCTTCGCTTTAATTATTTTGATGTAATTGAACACTGTGAGATGTCTTCTTTGTTGCCCAATGTTTTAGCGGACAGTCCATTAACTTTGATTGTGTTGCATCTCTAAGTGTTATTTTATTTCATTGAGGCGTTTGCATGACTACCACATAATTCTTATGTTTACATATTTATGCCTAAATTTGATTTTTACATTTATCACTTTTAATCCATCCGTAGGAAATGTTTAAGTGTTATAAGTATAAATTATGGAAGATTGGGTGTTAGATATGTGTGGTATGGAAGTAAATGTCAAGGGAATTGTGACGCCGACTGTTTTTGGCTTTTTGCTTGGACTTTATTTTATTTATTTGAAATTTTGTTGGCCATTCCAACTCGATTTAGCAATTAGGGAAATTTTACAACTGCTGATATTTTGAGTTAAATTTTAATTTAGGATTCATGATATTCTTTTATTGAGATGCTAGATATTTATTATTATTTTTTCTATAAAAATATAACTTTAAGAAAAAAATGTTTTTTTTTTTTTAAATTTATCAGGCCAAGTATCTCTTGGGCTAAAATTTGTTAGGTTTTTATGGGAAATTTTTTAGCAATAATATACTGATTTTGGTTTTGATTAATGTTGATGGAGTATCGCTTCTGTATGAGTGGAGGTTGCTCATTTAAACGGCTAGTAGATTATTTTAAAATTTGTAATATTTGAAAAATTAATTAATTAATTAATTAGTACAACATTTTGTGTGCCGTCTATCGTTCAACTTCGTTTTGCTAGCTGGGTTCAATTGTTCCGAACGGATATATCCTCGAACATAATAGGTCCAGGGTCATTAGATTTTTATCCTGAGTTAATGGTACACGCTTCTGTATGAGTGGAGGTTGCTCATTTAAACGGCGTCACCAGTGTCATGGCTAACACGATTATATGTAAGTTCATTTTCTTTCCTTTTATTTTTTTTTCCAAGCCACTCATGTGAGGCGTATAAGATAATATTTCAGTTTTGTTATTAGATATGTATGAGTCTATTTGGGGCAGCTGCCCTTGTGAATAAACTGATTGGTTGTTTATTATTGTTTGAGTATAGTTGCAGCGTACCTGTTTCTGGACAGATGACTATTCTGCTCGTATGGTAATGTTGTTTGCAACATAATTGTTATAATAATATATTCACTTAAGAGTAGTGCAAAAAATAAAGATATACATCTCACTTGGCAGCGAGTATCTTCATTAATAATAAAATAATTGATTGGTTGTTTATTTATTGTTGTTTGAGCATAGTTGCAGCGTATCTGTTTCTGGACAGATGACTATTCTGCTCGTGTGGTAATGTTGTTTGCAACATAATTGTTATAATAATATATTCACTTAAGAGTAGTGCAAAAAATAAAGATATACATCTCACTTGGCAGCGAGTATCTTCATTAATAATAAAATAAAAACTATTAAAATAACATTTAATAATATGATAATATTATTTTTAAAATAGAGACGACGTATGTCATGAGCCAGGACGTCATCTAGGGATACTATCCACTCTCGGTCACCCTCGACGATGAAATCTATCAGTCTGTTTGAACACCAGAAGAAGTCACACTTGTCCGTGATTCTCCGTGGGCACCTCTAGAACTATCTCCCGTACCTATGTGCACGACGTGACGGGAGCAGGGAACTTTGTAGTCCACAGTGGCATAGTACTCATGGGGAGGTCCCAAAAATCCTTGAACTAATATTTCATGAAATTTTCAAAAGACAATTCATTAGTCATAAGAGACATATAAATTGATAAAACGAAGTAATTAACATGAAATCTTCAAAAGACTCACTATTCCAACCAATGAATATGTCACAACAAGAAAATAAGACCTTATAAAACTAGGGTTTTGAGTTGTCTTTAACCCACACAATACCAAGTTTGTGTATGTTAAATATACATATTACAAAAAAAAATCATCCAGAAGAACCTCAAAAGTCGTATCGTTGAAAAAAAGAGAGAAATTTGGTTGTTTTCAATAGGATTTCATATGTGACACCAACCAATGCCGACAATCAAACCATCCAGAAGAATTCATAAGGTCTAACACCTCATATTGGACCTCTTAAACCCACAAAAAATATTAAAAAAAGAAAGGAAACAATAATAAAATCTGACAAACATTATAAAAAAACTCAAACAATCATAATTAGATGTACAAGTAGCATAAATAAACATGAATTGTACAAAATAAACAAGTAGAAATTGATAAAAGAAGTAACTAATTATAGTTTTGTATAGGTGTGAGGTCTCAGAGAATTCATTATATAAACCAACGACTGTCGTTGCAAAAACCTTGTTAAAAAAATGGTTCTTGGTTGTCTTTAACGCACATAATACCAAGCTCGTGCATGTCACACATGCATATCACCTAAAAATGTCATCTAAAAGAACCTCAGAAACGGTATCGCCAAAAAAGAAGAGAGGAACTTGGTTGTCTTTATAAGATTTCACGTTTAACATCAACCAATACCGCCAATCAAGCCATCCAGAAGAAATCATATGACCTAACGTCTCATCATGGACCCCTCAAACCTAAAAAAAAGAAAAAAAAGAAAACGATAAAAAAACTTACAAACATCATAAAAAAACCCAAAAAATCATAATCAAATGTACAAGTATCGTCCAATCAACATCCAACAATGGCGTATGTAATCCGCTCTCTCAATTCAACCATTTTTGCGGCAACTTCGTCATCTTAGGTGTAACCCTCAAGTGATTCTACTTCTGGTTGTGCTATAAATTGGCTTATGTGAGATTCAAATGCTTCTAGTGGGACCTGTAAATGATCATTGCCAGTCATGCTGAAGTCTACATCAGTTCGAGAATGATGACATCGAATATAGTTGTGGAGAGTCATTGTAGCCACTACAATATGCACTTGCTTCTAAAATTGATACGTTGGCATATCATGCAATATGACCCATTTTTTCTTTCACACTTCAAATGTTCTTAATTACGTCATGTAAGGAAGTGCGTCTTTTGTTAAACATTTCATTTCTACCCCGAGCAACACTACTAGATTTTTCAAAATCGGGAATGTAATGTTTCGTATCCGGAGGGATATCTAACATCTAACAAATAATATTTATTTGTTCTAAATACAACGATTAGTAATGAACTTAATAAAAATATGAATATGATTAATAATTGAACAAATTTGGAGGTGAGTGAGAGAAGTTGTGCTTTTGATTTTTTGTAGCAAAAACAAAAATATGACTGTCATGGGCACTGTCTTGCCAACGAACCATTATAAAAGTAAAACACCTGTTGAAATCACATACGAACATCAAGTTTTGTGCGGGTGATTCACTTCATTTGTATGCGACATTTTCATTATTGAATGTAAATATAGAAAATCAAAAAGAATAAATAAATTATTGCTCTTTTTTTTTTTTAAGCTGTCGGTTTTGGAAAGGAAGGGTTTGGCTTTTATTATTTTATAAGTTATGATTCCCCCGCTTTTCTCTCTCTGGTTTTCCAACAGCGAGCAGCTCCATACTCTCCCCATCTCCTCCTTGCCGTGACACTCCAACCCAAGCTCCACTCTCCTCCCACTCTCATTCTCCCACCAAACAGCCACCTCACAGACACAAGCCTCCATTACTTCCCTCCCCACCTCCTCTCAAACCGTGCACAGCCCACTTCCCACTCACCGCGCGGCCAAATTCCACTCCCTAAGCTCACTCGATCTCACGGATTGCACTCTCGTCCCTCTCCAAATCGAGCAACACACTTTCCTCTCACCCCCATTCCTTCTTTTAGTACCAAACAGCAACACCACACTCCCTCTTTCCCAACCAAAAAAAAAAAAAAAAAAAAAATCCAAAACAGCTCACTGTTCTCTCCCACTCACAAACCCAACTCTACTTACTCTCCCTAATATTCCTCCTCATTAAAGCCAAGGTCCCGAGCAATAGCAGGAAAGTGATCCTCCCTCTCTCTCTCTCTCTTGGATCTCCGACTTCTTCCACCGGCAAGGCCGCAAAGCACTCCAAACCAAGCTTCCGCCTCTCCCCTCTCCAACGAAGTGTTATTAGGTGCGGACGCCGCACCTATGACGACGGTTGTGATCGACGGGAGGCCGCTTGTTTCTTCTCCGATCAATCACCGCGGATATCCGCACCTTCTCCCATCGATAGAGAATATTTTCTGCTCTGCAACCCGGGATTAGGTGACCTCTTTCCTTAACTTGAAAACAAATAACAGCATTTGACATTCAATTCATGTCCATCTACATTTCTAACACCTAAGCATTTGACATGCACGATAATTTTTGGGTGCACCTAAATTTTAATTTTACAAAGTTTTACATGCATACCACCATATTCTCATGTATTTACACACGTACAAATATTTTTATATATTTACATGCGTATCAACTAAATTTTGTGTATCTACATATCCAATGCTGAAAATTTGATGTTTACATGTATGACTCCCAAATCCTATACACATGTTCGACATCCAAACTTAAATATTTTATGTGCACATCGCTCAAAATTTATATGTTTAAGTGCACGTCACTTATTACTTGTGTATTTACATGCCAACACTCAAATCTCACATGTTCAGAAGCCAGCCATTCAAATCTCATATACTTACGTGCTTACATGCTTAGACTTCAATATTTACATGCTAGTCATTTAAATATTGTATTTACATACCAAATATTAGGGATTTACCAAAAACAAGCTACTTAGTTCTCACATTGTTGCATGTTAGCCATCTAAACATAGGATTCACCAGCCCAAACAGAAAAACAAATTTAGAGAGAGAGACAGAGAGAAATCTTTGGCCTTTAAAAAAAATATACATAAATAAGAACAATAATTATATGTAAATCTCATGGAGATGTATATTTAACACTTAAGCAAAAAAAAAAAAAAGAATATTTACATACACACTATTTAATTCTTATGTATTTACCTAATTAACACTTAATGCTTATGTATTTATATATTTAAAACTAAAAAATTAATTTTCACATATAAATATATATGTATGATATGTTTTTCTATTTAAAAAAATTAAGTGGTTGTATTTATTTTGTATGTAAAAATTAATAATAATAATAATAATGAATTGTTAGTGTTATATTTATGTGATATTCAAACATTAAGTGTTTTGTAGATAAAAAATAAAATTTTAAATGTTATAAAATTAAAAATAAATTTTAAGTGTTACATTTATATGGTGTTATACATATTAAATGTTATGTATGTAAAAGTAAATTTTTAAGTGTTCTATTGTGAGAAATAAATTTTTAAGTGTTTTGTATATAAAAATATAATTTTAAGTGTCTTATATGCGTGTTATTTAAAATTTGAATGGTATGCATGTGAAAATGAAAATTGGGCATTTTTGTATAAAAAAAATTGGCATTTAAGTGTTAACTATGAAAATTCATTAGAATTCTATGATGTGTATGTAAATTCAAAAAAAAATGTTAATTACGAAAAGAGAAGACAAGAAAATTTAGCTTTACAAAATATACATATAATCCTCAGAAAAAAAAAAGAGAGATAATTACTTCATCAAACTCTCCTAAAACCTTCACTTCAAAACTCCACTAAGATCCTCATCAAAACCCACCTAAATTTTACCAGAACCTCCACCAAAACCCATGAAAACCATCACCTAAACTTCACCAAACCCACTAAAAAAACACCCAAAACCTTCACGCAACTTCACCAAAACATTCACCCAAACTTTACCAAACCCTCCCGAAACCTTCACTCTTAAACTCCACCAAAATAGCTACATCAAACCCACCTTAATTCCTAGAAAAAATTCACCAAAATGCCTAGCCAAAATTCACCAAAATCTGTAGCCAAAATCCACTAAATTTCTAGATCTAAGCCCCACTTGAAATTCTATCAAAATATTCACCTAAACCATCAAAACCTCCACCAAAAACTCCCAAAACCTTCATCCAAAAGCTCACTAAAAATTGCATCCAAAACCATTATAACTTTCATCAAAATTTCCACCAAAACTCCACAATAATTTCACCAAATATTCATCCAAACAATTCACCTAAATGTCCACTAAAATTTACCAAACTTTCATCAAAATTTTCACCAAAATTCCACAAGAACTCTACCAAAAATCCACAATAATTCCATCAAAATTCATTAAAAATATCACAAAGTCTCTTTCAAATTTCCACAAAAAAAAAACCTCATCAAAATTGTCTTTCTGATCTAACATTAAAATACATCCAAACCTCAGTATCTTCAACATCTCCTAGATTTTCTTCCTTTTGGTTCTGATAATAACTGCTCCACTTTTGAGCATTTTTCATTTAAAATTCTTAATAAAAAATCTTGAAAATCTAAACTTAGAAATTTGATGAAAACAAAACCACAGCCCTAATCGAGAGTTTTCTAACTTGTGTAGCTTAAGATGCAATAGCTATAGGGGCTTGCTTTATAAAATGTTTAAGACCTCATATTTAATCTAAACTCCATCTAGTCTTCTTATTAGATAAGGGAAAGATTTGTCAACTTAATTATAGACCATTACAAATATCCAAAATTTCTTAATTTAAATAATTGAACCTATCATAAAGTGATATTTCTATCTATTGGGATCGTATATTACTTTTGATGACATGTTTTGATTATTTAAATACTTCATTAAATTTTTGAATTTCTATGGTATTCAAAACTTTGTGGTGAAAAATAAAACTGACAACCACAAAATTGATAAGTCGTCTCGACTGCATTGGCATTGTATGATATCATGTATCCCTTAACACTTCAATCATTCTTTTGAGATTGTAATCCTAACTTTGACACAAAATTTTTTATTTTGCCCAGATCATCCTACACTAAATTTTTTGTGGGGTCCGTCTCTTTCAAAAATGTTGCAACTTGAATTGAATGGTTATTTAGGCATCTTAAAATTAGATTTGATGCTTCTCATTCTCAGTGTCATTGATAACTATGTATGTGTAGTGTAACCATCTCGTAAGTGTTATTATACAAGATTGAGTAAGTCATAGAATTATTGAGTTCAATGTTCGATTTTGCCTTCGTGTTGAACACTCTCAACAAAATGAGCTCTCTAAGCTTCATGAACCATTTCTTCATATGTTCCAGAATCATATTCCTCTTCTGGAGGGTCATAACTTGTTGAGACACCAACTTGATCATACTTAATTTCTGGTTTTTGCTCACCATGTGCAGTCTAGTACCAATAATTTGATTTGAATCCCTTGTGGTAAAGATCCAACTTATTTAGATCGCAAATACATTTGATTCTTGTACTTCGTACAATGATATTAGAACTTACCATTTGAATGATAAATGGGCAGTTGTGATGTCACATGAATGAATTCCTTAACACAATTTAAGAACTCATCAGTGAATCATTTTCATCTGAGATATAATCTACTATACATCCAAGCTTTAAAATTACGTATAATCAATATAGATGTAGCTTGACAGATCAATACAACTATTACGAAAAATAAAATATATGTCTAAGACATCTTTATCTCATTTTGTTCGCCACTTAATCTACGATAACCATATCAAATATATATTCATTTTTTATTTTGTCTATGTGTCAAGGCACTCATGCATCCACCTAAGCATTCTCATCTCAACAATAATTAACCTTTTTTTTTTTATGATTCTCTTTTAAAAGCCAACATTCTACGTCTTTGAGCATTGCAAGTCTTAGCACCGTCACATAAGTTTTTTCCTTGTGGTCTAAGCAGTATTGCTCTATCACACAATAGACCCAACGCATTCCTACACTTCAACCAATTAACTTGAATTCTACTAATAACATCCCTCATTTAAATAACTGTAGCTTTGAACAATATACCCGATGCATTCCTCCACTTCAACCAATTTGGGGGCGTGAGAGGGACATCGGCAAGGGTTTGGGGAGCACAAAGAAAAAAATAAAATGAATGGTGCGGGAGGAATGGCAGCGAGGGTATTTTATGTTTTTTTAGTTTGTTTTTTTATTTAATTTGTGTCAGATGTACTTCAAAGTGTTGAGTAAAGTTTTTCATCGTTTTCTTTGACGCATATCCAACCCACTTTTCAATGCTAACCCGCTGTAGGTTTTACTATTTTTAAAATGTCTTGTGTCACTTTATTCAAGACAAATCCGACGCAAACTCTGCCACACATATCAACAACTATTTTCTGTAACTTCAGAGTCGCAAATCAAACGCAAATGCGTGCATCCGAAAAATCTAACACAAATATTTGACGCTAATAACCGCAATCACCTGCAGTAGTTTTTATTTTATTTGGAAATGTTAAGTGTCAAAGTCCCATGACATTCTCCAACCTACACGAGAGATAATTTTACACTTAAATCAAAATCTCAAATCAAGATTCAAACAAGATAATTTATTATTGATTTTTCTTTTTATGTCATGATCTCTCTTGTACCGAAATGTCATGATCTCTCTTACTCTCATCTCTAGGTAGGGATGTCGAATTAGATCCAACGTGTTAATTCAATTAAAACTCAAATAAAAAAAAATTCAGTTTCGAGTTAAATCTGAAAAACTTATTAGTGGTGTTTGGGTCTAGAATCCGCACACATTTAATATTTTAGACTGGGTTCATGTTGAATCGCCAATTCAAAATTTAACCCAAATTATCTTGTAAATCTGAAATTAACCCATAAACCCGAAATTAACCTGAATTTTGCACGAGTGAACGTTGCATCTTATATTAAAAGCGTTATGTGGATTGGATTTGGATAGGCTTTTTTGAACAACTTAATACTCTAGGGTCAAGCTGTGGTCAAAACGTAGTTTCAAGTATGATCAATTTTGGGCCAATTTCAAACTCAATCCACAAATCTAAGTTGACACCCTCCCATTTAAGAGTAGGGTTGTAAACGAGCCGAGCTTGAGCGAGCTCAGGCTTGGCTCCCTCAAAATAGCTTGTGTTCGAAATCGGCTCGTGAACAATGTGTTCGTGTTCGGCTCGATTAAAATATTAGTGTTCGTGTTCGGCTCGATTAAAATATTAGTGTTCGTGTTCGGCTCGAAATTAGCTTGTTAAACTTAAATTGAGAAAAATAGATGTAAAGTGTGAGATTCGAACATGGATTAAATATATACCAAAGAATGCACTAACCACATTGTCTGTTATAATTTAAACTTAGACATAAATATATATAA